TGCTGTATTCAAACTTGCTCTTAGCATTATATACAACACAATACACAATACTTTATACATAAATAACTGCTTATAACTACCTAACCCTAATGTTCCTTTTAGTTAGCGCGTGATCTCTTGTAGTGCTGTAGAGATAAGTAAAATGCTCTTTGCCGACAATGTCTACGCCTCCTTAGTTGAGCCGCTCGACTTGTGTGCGATACGCGCTCTTCAAGGGTGCAAAAGGGCCGACGTCGCATTGCTGCAGCTTATAAAAGGTGTGAGAAGGCAGACAATACAAGATAATGTTATTAGTAAGAGGCCATCCATAACGTGAGGTCTGCGACAGAGACGAAGTAAACTAGTCGATCGTGCCTTGCGCGGTTGTAGGCTATCGAAGCAGCGAGACCACTGTTGGGCTGAGAGCAGTGCTGCAATCCATCTTTAGCTACACGAGGCTGAGAGAGTGGGTATAGCTAAGCGCTGCCATATTGCGGGCGGCGTAGGCTCGGAAAGGCTTCGGAACTACGTTTCGCTACCTAGAGCCCACTTGCCCACTCTTACTGCGCACTTGCGAGTTGAGCGGGATACTACACAAACATAGTCCTATCTAATAGTCTGTATCGTGATGCAATTTTTTGAGCACTTTCATAACTTGCTAAGATAGGTATAATATTAAAGTACCATTTAAAGCTACATCGTGCGCTTGCTATTTTTAGAGCAAGCTCCGCTCGTCCTCTGCCACATGTCGTCAGAGCGATAGGACGCGCTTTGGTTACGTCAAGGCTACTTGTTACTACCCTTTTGCTGGTATAGTAACATACTTGCGGCCATGGATCAAGTCAGTTAAGCACTAGCTAAAGGTAGATCTAAAGAGTATATTAATAATCTAAGAATCTCTGTGGCTTAGGCGTGAGGTACTTAAACAATGTTAGTGGTTCGTTGCGGAGGGATGTTCGACCCATAGGGACGGACGTTAGTAACTATATCGTCAATATATACTTGCAACGATCATTAGGTTATGCGAAGGAAGCGACGTGTTGAAAGTGAATGTACCCCTCATTTGTCCCAGCACTCAGGGACGGACGTTACACCACTACTAACACATCCAGCTCGACTGTAACCTGCAAATGTAGAAAAAATTATACCTGTAAGCATACTAGACACCTACATGCTAGATGCCAACCACTAGACCAACCACTGCAATAGCAAGTGCAGTATCGCTTCATTTCGGAACCTGACGGTAGCAAAACCGTTATCGGAGCCGCTGAGTTACATATATAGGTGAACTTTTAATAGCAGTTGTGGCGCAGGCTCCGTGAGTCCGAATCGCGTTTCTTGGACCTGGAATATGTAGGCAGCACGCATATCGCGCAATACATAATTATATGCGCCTTTGAAGGGTGCAAGTAGACTATTGACCCTTTTTCTTCATACAATGTGCACTACTCCTCTTCGCAACTATCTTGCAGCACCGCAATGTGCCTATGAGTTTCAGCTACTAAAACCACAATTGCTTGAAGCTAGCTTACACGATTTATTCTCATTTATATGGGCTCGCGATCCTTACAGCTACGATCACCCACGGTATCGCCTCCAGGTAGCCTTTAGCATCCTATTGATATTCTACATAGGGCTGCATCCTAATGTTGCTTTGAAAGAAGGGCTGTACTACAGCGATACGGAGATCTTTCTCACCTGGTTTGAAAATGCCCCTCGAGTTTTGCTCACTATTCGTCTTGAGGATCGGGATGCGTTGGCTACGCAAAAGCGGAAAAGGTGACATTGAAGCAAGCCTTTGATTCTGAGATACAGCTAATCTGGGAAGTAGGAAAAGAATGATTCTCATTGATGAGCCTACGAACCGTCATTTGTGCCCTGTTACTCTATTTCTCTCAATGGCTATCGCGGATGGCGTTGTTGATGGCATTACTTGTGACAGCGATATCGCAGCGCTGTCCAGTCACTGCCAACAATCTGGATGGCTACCCCTCCCCTATAAGCTTGGCTCATTACATCTCCCAGTACTTCGAAGGACTGGTAACAGGTCGAGAGTGATGTCATCATGTATTATGAAACCTTCTGCTCTCTACATTATGATGCAGGAGCAATTTGATCGGGCTGGACATGAAGCCACTTTTTCGACTATGCTCCGGGATGTGAGGAATGCGAATCAGCGGGAACGGCGACGGAAAGCCGCAACTGATCATATGAATGCAGAGACGCTTCTGATGGGGCGTGGACAAGGAAGATGTATCTCCACGATACTCGCTTTTGAACCAACGATCCCTCCAGAAAAAAAGACATTCCATACAACTGCGAGTCTTCAACCACCCTATCCGCTACCACACATGGTAGATGTTCAACTCAGGTATGACCTCACACGCTCAACAATCATATCTTATCTCTTCGGGTCATATGCCGTATATCATACCCTTCCTGATATACTTTACGCTTTTGCCAAGGCAGCCGAGTCAGTTGCGCATGAGCCATTCTATGTGGATGCTTTCCCTGATGCCTCTGGAAGCTGTCCATGGTGTGGAGCCCAGCTGAAACGGTAAGCTTCGTCTGAACACTGATTACTACATATAGTACACTAATGCTCATTGCAACTAGGATTCCTATGAAAACACACCTTCTTAGGTGCTCACAAAGGAGCAAGAACCACATTATGGAAACACAGCTCAATACATCCCTTCGGGCGAAGGAGTGGAAATGTATGTGGCTATCTTGCAGCTTCGATTCCTTTCATGATGCAGAAGGGGCGGCGAGTCACATGGGAAATCATGTAACTGCTAATGCTGTTCACTGCCAGTGGGGTTCTTGCGAATTCATTGCTAAAACGTCAAATGATATCCACGGACACCTTGCTACCGAACATGGCGTCTATACCCATATGACAATACCGACACGGGCCAGATTCTGCATTGAGTGTGGAATTTGGATTTCCAGTGATTTAGACTGGGACAAACACTGCAAACAGCACACGAGAAGTCCAAACATCATCTATGGTCCTATAACCTCTGAGGGTATTCTTGCAGCGCCTCGTCGGTGTCCATACTGCATAGCAGAGGGCAATTTTGTCCAGATGGAAAATGCGGGCCACTATTTCGAGCACATCGAAGAGCATATTAATAGCCAGTTTGATAAGGGTGTTAGAGGATGCCCTCATTACTCGTGTAAAAGTCAGCAGTACAGCAAAAAGAGCTTGCGGGACCATTTCAATACAGCACATGGCATTGCCCTTCCTTAAAAGAACATTTCCTACTATTTTAAACGCCTATAACAAACATAGAAAAGTCGCTTCATCTTACATGAGCAAATTATACATGTAGTCTTAGTAGTAGCACATCAT